TTCGAGCCTTTGTGGCTCTCCTATGGTCCAGATCAGAAAATTTGGTCTTGTTACTTTCCACGGTAGATATGGCCAGCAGTACTGACTGATCTTCCATCATATCGCTGTAATACAGCCCTCGCCGTGACTGCCTGAACTCCCTATATTTAGTACCGTCGCTAYTGTACATGCGGAAAATGTTATCTACTTCACTGTCATAAGTCACCCTATGGTCTTGCTTTACTGCGGATAGGGACAGTATGTTTGCTATCCCTCCCTTGTGGTACCACACGGTTCCAATTCCTTGGAAATCCCCTATCCAGTTTGTAGAGGCCACTCCTGCATTACAGTATATCTTCATGTGCTTGTCAGTCTGTCTGATGTTGGTGAGGAATCGTGGGTTGCAAACTACATTGACTGTTGATTGATTATCCAACAGGAGCCAGTTGGGGTTGATCGATCCCCCGGATTGACTCAGTATCGTATTATAGCTTACACTCATTCCGTCCTCACTGGCGGGGCTAGTATCTATTGTTGATAATGTACAGAACATTAATTGGCATGGTGCATCGTCATCATACGTATCGAGTATATCCCCGACTGTTATGTTAGTTGTTCCAACCAACTTTGGCTCGCGCTCCTCCGGTGTACTGCTACCATTAGCAGTCTGTTGAGTTTCCTTGCTATGACTGAGTATATCCTCTGGCTTGCACATGTTCTGCCACGAGAAATGTCCGGGCTTGCCGCACCGATAACACGTCACTCCGCCTTTTCCTCTACCCCTCGTACTGGTTGTCGCCGCCATGTTACTGTCCTGTAGGAATGCTACTCCGTCCCCCCCTGCTTTCTTTGTTATGTTATATCGTCCTTCCTGCTTATAGTTGACGAGTATATTCTGTGCCTCATTGAGGTTGATCGGATAGTTGTTATGTCCCATTAGGAAATCATTCTCAAGCTTCTGTTTAATGTTTCCGTATCTTCCATGGTTGCTGTTTTCAATGTAAATGGTGGCTAGGGTCATGTTGCTTGTTTTCTTTGCAACATCCATTCTTTCTTGCTCGTTAAGGGATTGATATTTCCTTCCTTCGTAGTATCGGTCTAGCGTATAGTCGCGGATCCCTGGGAGCTCAAAGTCTCCTCCGCACGCGACTGCTGCGGTTACA